GGAGAATCGTTGTACTAACTAACCTATCGCGGACAGGTTAGTTGAGTAGGAATATATTCTCTACGGTTCTTAACGTCAAACCGCTAAAGCGTTGCAGTCTGTACAGTCTAGTGTGAAGTGTGCGCCCACTTGCAGCTAGCTGCTAGAGATCAGCACTAACTAGGAGTTCGTTCCAGCGACCTGCGCGCTTTTTTGAAAGTGGTTTTTGCCAGATGTAGGGTCGCGAGCCCCCAGATGTTGACTAACGTTAATTTCTCTGGTAATACCAAAAATAGAGTGAAAAAGAGGTTCGTGGAAACCGATCGGTTTTTGAGCACTCTGTGGCCTCCTAAATCACTTTCAAACTGGTGCCAGTTAGCTGGCCTATTGGGGTCCTTTATAAAGATACTACTGGTATCGAAGAGAAAAATAGTTGCTAAGGAGGTCTTACTTGTGGCACGTAGCTGAGAGTCGACGGCTTGGTTGCGTGGTTTCTTCAACAATAGGATAGGCAGCCAAGAGCAATGACCAGATGGCCTAGTGGATAGAGTGCAGGATACTTGAGCGACAGTGAAGGTGGGGTTGATGGTTCGAGTCCCATCGCATTGCGCCTCTTCGTTCGTTTTGCTTCAACAATTCCGATTTTCACATACCATTAGGCAGGAACTCTTTTGAAAGCTGACCTTCATAAATTATTCAGTGCCCTGATCACGACTATGACATTCAGCTTTCAGCTGTAGTGCCATTTATCGCCATTCTCGAGCCACTTCTTTTTCCCACTCGAGTGCTATGTTACACTTATTTGAAGGATTTTTGGTGCCTTTCTGACGCCAGCTTGCGTCAACGCCAGAAATAAGTGTCAGAATCGTGATCATGACCATCGACTACCCCTATAGGCAAGCTTTTGACCAAAAAAATTATTTCGACTTTCTTGGGGTTTGTCTATTGGGTTATGCCCTAGTGTCATTCTGGAGAAGTCGTGCCTTTCTCGTCTTCGTTACGTCATTGCCGCTCCGAAGGTGTGAGACATCAGTCATTGTCGCCGACCAAATGGTCTATCACAACTCAATGAAGTCGAAAAAATTTTTTTGGTTCGAGCAACGCAGAGGCTTAAAAAGGCTTGGGGTCCCACAGCTTCTTTTTCACTCCTTTTTGGTATTACTGGGGGAATGAGCGTCAGCTACTCTAGGCTCGTGACCCCACATCATGCAAAAAACCAGTTTTCAAAAAGCGCACCACGTCCTTAATGACCTGCCTAGTAAGAGGTACTCACAAGAAAGGTCATTCAGGTCATAGTGAGCTCTTTGGGCAGGTTTGTCGCATAATTTAGGGTCATGGACCTTACGGATAGGGTTCGTTTTGCTAAGCATTATCGGGAACGCTGCAAGAAGGGTTTTGGAAAATTCGTCAGGGAGGGACGATCAAAACCATCTCTGTTTTCTAGCTGGAGGGTTGAGAGTGCATAGTTCAACTAGGCATAAAAACAACGCAAAATGCAGGCTAAATCCAAAACGTTCGCTGAGGTGTCGTGCTATGTTGCATCTTCGTCACCATCTCCTAACATTTATACAACGGCTTCTGCATCTCACCGATCGCACTGTACGGATTGATAGTCATCTTGGAGACGATTTCTCACATTCTTCAGATTGTTACCTTCTTGCATTCTTGCGTGCCCGATAATGTGTGTAACCGGATACATGCCACCAGTTGGATCGCCCGGCCCACGTCGGCTCTTCCTTCATTTCAGTCAGGCCTAATAAGAGTAATCCGGAAACCCTTATTAGTTTTTTTTATCATTTACCAGTCGGATCGCCCGGCTGACGCCGAGCTCTCCTCCTTCTAACTTGGCTTCGCCGAGCTGGCCTGGCTTTGCCAAAGCATAATTAAAACTCAACTTTTTCAAAATGCGTGTATTGTATGGGCTTTATGACGCGGACCATACCTCTGATGCAAATATAGGCGTATGCTTAGGAATGCAGGATCCGCAACGTTGCTCTATCCGTGATGATTCGATCACTACAGCGCCATATAAGCAGCCCACTGTCGTAAAAGTTAGGCTGCGTTTATACTTTGCGGTAAGACCGTAGCGTTAAGCGTATGCCTTCCAGCGTACGCCAGCGCAGTCCCCGGGAGGATCTCGCATATCGATCTAGCTTCACCAGCGTCACCAGCGGCACGCTGGCGTAGCGAGGGCACGGGAAGCATAGCTATCGATCTAGCTTCACCAGCGTTTCTCGAGCGTTTCTCCAGCGGCACCAGCGTTTTGCTAGCGCTTGCAGCGGCAGGGAGAGACTATGTGGCCGTGAGAGACGCGGAATCAACGTGTATTGTAGAGACCATGTGGCCGTCGGAGACGCAGAAGCGATGTGCATTGTAGAGACTATGTGGCCGTCGGAGACGCAGAAGCGATGTGCATTGTAGAGACTATGTGGCCGTCGGAGACGCAGAAGCGATGTGCATTGTAGAGACTAAGGGCGAGTGAGAGACGCGCAATCGATGTGTTTTGTACCCTCCAGCTCTCCCATAGTCTCTACTCCCCTGCCGCTGCAAACGCTAGCAAAACGCTGGTGAAACGCTGGAGAAACGCTGGTGAAGCTAGATCGATATGCATCCTCTCTTCGGCACTGCCGCTGGCGTACGCTGGAAGCGCTACGCTACAGCTACAGCTGCGCTGGCCGGCAAAGTATAAACGCAGCCTACAGTTGCAAATTATGCGCGCCTGGCGAAGCCAGGTCAGCTCGGCGAAGCCGAGCTAAGGAGGAGGAGAGCTCGGCGTCAGTCGGGCGATCCGAATGGTACAATAATAAACATGCAGATATAGTTGGAATGTGCAGTCGGCCAGTACAAAGCAATTTAATTAGCTCAGTAGAGGAATAATAAACTCCATTTACTGCAACTGAAGCGTCTAAGCTGAATTAACGGGGCACCCTTTTCAATCACCACGCAACTCTCTTGTCAAGGTAAAAGTAAAAAAAGCTATGGAACGCATAAAGCCTGCCTCAAATGCCTCATTATTCAGGTTTTCGGTTCTCCGCCAATTTCCGTGCCTTTCCTGTTTCACGCAAACTATATACCCCCTCCCACCTCCCCCCGCTCGTCGATTATAGTGGTAAGGGATGTAATGGAACTGCTGAACTCTCTATCACCTCCTAGCAGTTCTTGCCACCGACTAATAATGTTCCTGTGCCATACCTTATATCATACTACCTTGGAATCAACGAACCACAGCTGCTGTGACCCGCATCATGAGCATATTGACCATATCTCTCTAAGGGCCTCCTATTGAATCTTATCAGCCGCTAAGGGTTCTAGTAACCCACAAGTAATCTTACTGTCTCATTGTCTACATCATATCTCGGAACTTCGGATAAGTCCTATTGCTGCTGTGACCTGCACTATAAATTGGGTGGCCGTACCCTTCCGACGCCCCTTATCGGATCTTATCAGCTGATAACACTTCCTACAACCCGCCAATGGTTTCCTGTTACATCCCTACATCACTTCCTGGAACCAAAGTCGCTGCTATTGGGACAGGTGTTATGAATTTCGTGACACACATACATACACACTCAGAACACACAGCGGAATTATATATAGTAAGGCATGCTGGGAATTGGAAGTTTTCAAAACGTCAGCTGAACGACCAGGGACGGGGGACGGTAGTAATGTGGCATAAACTGGCATTTTACAGGTAACCATGAGGTCGCTGTAAGATCGAGCTAGAACAATTGCCACATATGCCTCCTGACTGCCCAAAACGCCTAAAGGTCGAGATTAAGTGGTCGTTACCACGACCTGGGATGAACATTGCTCTCCTTCGTTCAAGCGCGACGTCACAACGAGAGTAAAACGAGAGTTCCACGCAGTAAAAAGTCCTCCAAGGGACTTTTAGAGATGGTCATCTCTGTGGTGGGAGTTAGAGGTTTTACGCAGTGGTTGTTGGAAAAGTAGCAGAGTTGATTCGGCGTGGTGGCGAAATATAATAGAGAGGGGGTGCAGCAGAGAGACAGACGTCTGTCGAGAGTGTGGGAATGGCGAGGGTGGAGACTGGCAGGGAATAGGGGTCGCATGAAATTAGGCCAGCGCCACCAACCTATCTCATTATGTTTTCTTGTATGTTGTTCGTGTATTTATTTCTGCCGCTTGTGCCTTCGTTTGTACAAGACAATTCACCTCATCAACTCTCTCCACCTTCCTGTTAGGAGACCCTCCACCTTCCCTGTTAGGAGACCATCTGTTTCCCGCTTTAAATATAACAGGAATCATCTGCGCGCTGTTTCAGGGGCAGAAGAGTCGTCGCTCGCCGCGAGGTCCCCCCCTTCCCAGAAACGTCACCCACCCCGTGGATGTTCAATTGTAATCAAAAAATGACGCCGACGGGAACAATCGCGCCGAAGCAGAGTCCGCCTGCTAGCGTACGTCCTTTAAGCTTGCACTGGGGAAGCCCCGATAATTCAATGGCGCACGTGTCAGTTTGTTTGGTCACTGATGTTGCCCGTTTTTACATCTCTTGATTATTAGAGTGATATTGAAACGTGCCAGGTCTTCCCCTTGCTCCTCTGAGGCGAATTTATGAGTTGAAAACATAAGATATGTTTTGGATCTTTGTGTGGTTGAACCTGTGTGCTGTTATTATTCATTGTTTTTGTGTCGTGACTCGAAAACGTTTGTATCGCAAGCATTATCGGCTAGCTCTCATGCACGATATCTTGTTTTGGAAAGTTACACAGACTACATTGTTAGCCTTGGCATTGGCACGGCATTTATCCAGCACGCTTTCGCCTCTCGCCGAAATCATAAAAGTCTGGCACTCGTCAAATCGCTGGTCTAGGAAGTGAGTCGAGCAGAACGGTAGTAAAAAACCACAGTAACTTTACAGGACATGTTTACCGTTCCCAAGAAGAGATACACCGTTTCCGTGTGATGGTGACCAGTCCCCTCGGCAGGCAGAGCACGAGTTCACGGAAGTGGCACGCGGTAATTCTGCCACTTGTCAATCAATATACAACCCTTACCAATGCCTATAGTCTCTCTACAATGTAGGCTCGGACGTCTTCAACATCATCACGCGGATGCACCATGGTGGCCTTCCTCCTTCCAAGCTGTCGTATACCACACGCGTTAAGGCACAAGCTAATGTTGTGCAACACTGCGCATGCCAGCACAATTTTCGACGCTTGTTGAGGCCCCACCCTCAGTTCCGACGAGAGGATGGGGAAACGCGATTTCAGACGACCTATGGTCATCTCCACGATCGCCCGCATGCGACAATGTTCACGGTTATATCGCGTTTTCCTCGCGTCACCTCGAATGGCAGTGGGGCGGAATGGCGTAATTATTCCGCTACCGTTGGCGTACCCCGAATCGCCGAGAAGGCGATAACCTCCTACAGCTCCTCCACTGTTAAACACTGCTGCAGGAGAGGAGTTACGCCAAACGGTAGCGTCGTGCACTGATCCTGGGGACCCGGTGTTGACGTACAGGATTCGACCCACCTAAACGCAAGACGTTTGAGGCAAGACGTTCCCTCCCTGCTCACATAACTGAATATCCGTCAACCAGCCGGTGCTCTAAACGGACAGTGTGGCCATCCACGGCTCACATCTGAATTACATCGTATTAGGGAAATTTTGAGCAGTACTTGTCTCCACTCACTGGACATCTTTCCTGTCCTTGCGAACTCATTCGAATCTTCGCCGGGACAGCAACTGGCTCAAATCCGGTTTTAAAATTCTTAAAATAAACTGTTGGAGGATGTCAGGATGCACCAGTGCATCCACGACACGCCTTATTATATTTGACACCGTCTTCTGACAGCAGCCGCCGGTGTCACTGAGAGAGCAATATGGATATGCATTGTGGTGGCATAGATAAGCGAAGCCACCTATGCACACCCTGCACACAACACCGACCTTCTGTTGTTGGTGCGGGTGTGCGAATCAGTACCAGAGGGGGAGGTTCACACTGGCTTCGACGCGTTAGTTCCACTGCCATGAGAGCCTGTCACCCTCTAACCCAAGAACGGATCCAAAGCTCAGTGATCCAGTCCAGTTGGTCATCGGTGAACCGAAATCTCTGACGAATCAGAGACTGGTTCACCGACAGGATGCGTCTTGGATCCTGGCGGATGTAGACCACATTTTTCGAACGACGAGTTGTGCGAAAGAAGTGAAGCGGCATGTCTGAACCACCGTCACCAATCGTTATCTACTACAGCAAGAAAACTTCAACATGAAGGCTCGCGAAGAATCAGTAGAAGAGTCAATTAAGAAACAGCCATAATAACATAGAAAGGAATAAATCTAAGTGCAGCTCATAGAAACTAAGTTTCAAAATGCGATGCAAAGCAGAACAGCCCATTGATGTGCATCGCGTGCGGTAGCAATGCGGGACCATTATTACGTACAGACGGCATCCTTACTTCAATTGATTTTACTATTCAACATTGAATCAAGTCCGTAACTGTTTGCCAATGTTCAGTTTTCTGTTATCTGAGACGGCCGCCACATTCCCGACGTAGTGATAGCGCAGAGACAATGATGCGCGCTACCATTTGCGTGGTGGTGAGATCGATACCGGCCGCCGGCGCCTTTTGCAAATAGCGTAGCGAAGCTCGTGGTTAACAGTGAGGTTGCCTCGCTCATACGTCGCTCGTTGTTCTGCATAACCGCGAGCAACTCATCACATTTGATTGCGAGATTTAGACAAATTACTACCGTCCCAGATTAATGAGGACCATGTCGGCAGGGGAACATATCTAGGAAACGGTCTTGAAAAACCAACCATGGCGAAGCCAGGATGTGAACCGCTGTCCGCGACACGATGAAGGGGGACGTCCACATAGCAGTTACCGTGTTCCAGTGAGAGGCTACTGAACCCCGCGCATACCAAGCTCAAACGCAAAACAGTGTACAAAACACTGTCTCATAAGCGCAACAGTTACCGAGTAGAATGTTAATTTCCGAGCTTACCACTTTCCCGTGGAGAACCGAATCGGCGAGTGTTCTTGACATATGTGACGAGTATGTCCGAGATGACTTGTCTAGATCTCCTTGCTGCCCCAGTTCCTCAATATTGTTCTGATCCTTGTAGCTCG